AAAGTGGCAGCAGGGAAGACCCCCTTAATTATAGACCTGTATCAATGACAAGTGTAATAGTGAATGTATTGGAAAAACTAATCAAAACTAAATGGGTAGAACACCTGGAGAGAAATGATATAATATCAGACAGACAGTATGGTTTTCGATCTGGAAGATCCTGTGTATCGAATTTACTCAGTTTCTATGATCGAGCCACAGAGATATTACAGGAAAGAGATGGTTGGGTTGACTGCATCTATCTGGACCTAAAAAAGGCTTTCGACAGAGTTCCACATAATAGGTTGTTCTGGAAACTGGAAAATATTGGAGGGGTGACAGGTAAGCTTCTATCATGGATGAAAAATTTTCTGACTGATAGAAAAATGAGGGCAGTAATCAGAGGCAATGTATCGGAATGGAGAAATGTCACAAGTGGAGTACCACAGGGTTCAGTTCTTGCACCAGTGATGTTTATTGTGTACATAAATGATCTACCAGTTGGTATACAGAATTATATGAACATGTTTGCTGATGATGCTAAGATAATAGGAAGGATAAGAAATTTAGATGATTGTCATGCCCTTCAAGAAGACCTGGACAAAATAAGTAATGGAGCACCAGTTGGCAAATGGAATTTAATGTTAATAAATGTCATGTTATGGATTGTGGAATAGGAGAACATAGACCCCACACAACCTATATATTATGTGAGAAATCTTTAAAGAATTCTGATAAAGAAAGAGATCTAGGGGTGGTTCTAGATAGAAAACTATCACCTGAGGACCACATAAAGAATATTGTGCAAGGAGCCTATGCTATGCTTTCTAACTTCAGAATTGCATTTAATTGCATGGATGGCGATATACTAAAGAAATTGTTCATGACTTTTGTTAGGCCAAAGCTAGAATATGCAGCTGTTGTGTGGTGCCCATATCTTAAGAAGCACATCAACAAACTGGAAAAGGTGCAAAGACATGCTACTAAGTGGCTCCCAGAACTGAAGGGCAAGAGCTATGAGGAGAGGTTAGAAGCATTAAACATGCCAAAACTAGAAGACAGAAGAAAAAGAGGTGATATGATCACTACATACAAAATAGTAACAGGAATTGATAAAATCGACAGGGAAGATTTCCTGAGACCTGGCACTTCAAGAACAAGAGGTCATAGATTTAAACTAGCTAAACACAGATGCCGAAGAAATATAAGAAAATTCACCTTCGCAAATAGAGTGGTAGACGGTTGGAACAAGTTAAGTGAGAAGGTGGTGGAGGCCAAGACCGTCAGTAGTTTCAAAGCGTTATATGACAAAGAGTGCTGGGAAGACAGGACACCACGAGCGTAGCTCTCATCCTGTAACTACACTTAGATAATTACACACACAGTTAAACAAGCTATGAGGATGAGGGAAGGGGATGTTCCCTCCATGCTGGATTTGATATTTACCAGGAAAGAGGAAAAGATATTTGACATTCAGTACCTCCCTTCCTTAGGTAAAAGTGACCATGTCTTATTGAGAATAAATTATGCAATGGGTTATAATTTGGAAGAAAATGAGGTTGAAACAGTTGAAAAGCCTGATTTCAGGAGAGGTCATTATGGGGAACTCAGACATTTCTTTAAGGAAATTGACTGGAAAGACTTGCTGTTAGGACATGAAGTAAATGAGATGTATGTCAAGTTTTGTGAAATATATGATAAAGGCACAAAAATTTTTATTCCAAAGCAGAGATTCAGAACTAGGGAACAGGATTGGTTCGACAGAAATTGTAAGAGGGCCAGAGACCAAAAGATACAAAAATGGAATCAATATAGGAAGAGGCCAAACCCCCAAACATACCAGCGATACAAAGATGCGAGAAACAACTACACGACAGTGAGGAGAGAGGCAGAAAGAAATTTTGAAAAAGAGATTGCGGACAAATGTAAAACAGAACCAGGTCTATTCTATAAATTCATAAACAACAAATTGCAGGTAAAGGATAATATTCAGAGGTTGAAAATGGGAAATAGATTCACAGAAAATGAAAAGGAAATGTGTGAAACATTACACGCAAAGTTCCAAAGTGTGTTTGTACAAAATGAAATCTTCAGGGGACCAGACACAATAAGAATTCCAGAGAACAGCATAGAGCACATAGAGGTGTGGAGTGCACTACACTTAGGTAATTACACTTAGTTAATTACACACACACACACACACACACACACACACACACACACACACACACACACACACACACACACGCACGCACGCACACGTATGTACATGTACGTATGTATGTCAAGGGGCTGTCAACACGTCAAGGGACCGACAAGAATGAGAGGAGAGGATGAACCAGCTGTGCTTGATCTGATATTTACCCTAAATGAGTCGGATATAAGGGAAGTTAAGATGGAAGCCCCCTTGGGAATGAGTGATCATAGTGTATTGAGCTTTGAGTACCTGGTTGAGCTAGGAATTATCTCCCCAACAAAGAACTGGGAAACAAAGGGCTGGCATACCGAAAGGGAAACTATGAGGAGATGAATAAGTTCCTAAGGGATATACAATGGGACACAGAACTTAGAACCAAGTCCGTACAAGACATGATGGACTATGTCACCCAAAAGTGTCAGGAGACTGTAAGCAGGTTTATCCCGGCCCGACAGGAAAAAAACGAGAAGCAAAAGAAGAATCCGTGGTTTAATAGGGAATGTATTAAAGCAAGGGAGCTGAACAAAAGGGCATGGAGGAACTTCCATAATAACAGAACACCAGAAAATAGAGAGAGATACCAGAGAACCAGGAACAAGTATGTTAGCGTGAGACGAGCAGCTAAGAAAAGGTATGAAAATGATATAGCTAATAAAGCCAAGACCGTACCAAAGCTACTACATAGTTACATCAGGAGGAAGACAACAGTGAAGGAACAGGTGATGAAACTTAGGACAGGTACACAGAGAATGACAAAGAGGTGTGTGAAGAACTCAACAAAAGGTTCCAGGAGGTCTTTACAATAGAACAAGGAGAGGTCACGGTGCTAGGAGAGGTGGCAGCAAACCAGGCGACCTTGGAAGGGTTCAAAATAACAAGAGATGAGGTCAAAAAGCACCTATTGGAGCTGGACGTGAAAAAAGTTGTTGGGCCGAACGGAATCTCACCATGGGTATTGAAAAGTGTGCTGGAGCACTTTGTTCGCCATTCTCCATAGTGTATAATAGGTCACTGGAAACGGGGGACCTACCAGAAATATGGAAGACAGCTAATGTAGTCCCAATATACAAAAAGAGTGACAGACAAGGGGCACTGAACTACAGGCCAGTGTCCTTAACTTGTATACCATGCAAGGTGAAGGAGAAGATTGTGATAAAAAACCTAGTAACACATCTGGAGAGAACGAACTTCGTGACAACCCATCAACATGGGTTCAGGGAGGGTAAATCTTGCCTTACAGGCTTAATAGAATTTTACGATCAGGTGACAAAGATTAAGCAAGAAAGAGAAGGATGGGTGGACTGCATTTTTTTGGACTGTCGGAAAGCCTTTGACACAGTACCCCATAAAAGGCTGATGCATAAGCTGGAGAAACAGGCAGGAGTAACTAGTAGGGTGCTCCAGTGGATAAGGGAGTACCTAAGCAATAGGAAGCAGAGAGTTACAGTGAGGGGTGAGACCTCAGATTGGCGTGAAGTCACCAGTGGAGTCCCACAGGGCTCTGTACTCGGACCAATCCTGTTTCTGATATACGTAAATGATCTCCCAGAGGGTATAGACGCATTCCTCTCAATGTTTGCTGATGACGCCAAAATTTTGAGAAGGATTAAGACAGAGGAGGACAGCTTGAGGCTTCAAGAAGACCTGGACAAGCTGCAGGAATGGTCGAACAAATGGTTGTTAGAGTTTAACCCAAGCAAATGTAATGTAATGAAGATAGGGGTAGGGAGCAGGAGACCAGATACAAGGTATCATTTGGGAGATGAAATACTTCAAGAGTCAGAGAGAGAGAAAGACTTGGGGGTTGATATCACGCCAGACCTGTCCCCTGAAGCTCATATCAAGAGGATAACATCAGCGGCATATGCCAGGTTGGCTAACATAAGAACGGCCTTTAGAAACTTGTGTAAGGAATCTTTCAGAACATTATATACCACATATGTCAGACCAATCCTGGAGTATGTGGCTCCAGCATGGAGTCCATATCTAGTCAAGCATAAGACTAAACTGGAAAAGGTTCAAAGGTTTGCCACCAGACTAGTACCCGAGCTGAGAGGTATGAGCTACGAAGAGAGACTACGGGAATTAAACCTCACTTTGTTGGAAGACAGAAGAGTTAGGGGGGACATGATCACCACATTCAAGATTCTCAAGGGAATCGATAGGGTAGATAAAGACAGGCTATTTAACACAAGGGGCACACGCACTAGGGGACACAGGTGGAAACTGAGTGCCCAAATGAGCCACAGAGATATTAGAAAAAACATTTTAAGTGTCAGAGTTGTTGACAAATGGAATGCATTAGGAAGTGATGTGGTGGAGGCTGACTCAATACACAGTTTCAAGTGTTGATATGATAGAGCCCAATAGGCTCAGAAACCTGTACACCTGTTGATTGACGGTTGAGAGGCGGGACCAAAGAGCCAGAGCTCAACCCCCGCAAGCACAATTAGGTGAGTACACACACAAACAACACACAACACACTCTCTCACACCCTCTCTCACACCTTCTCTCACACCCTCTCTCACACCCTCTCTCACTCTCTCACCCTCTCTCACTCTCTCACACTCTCTCTTACTCTGTCACACTCTCTCACTCACTCACTCACTCACTCACTCACTCACTCACTCACTCACTCACTCACTCACTCACTCACTCACTCACTCACTCACTCACTCACACACTCTCTCACTTACTTACTTCCCCCCCCCTCTCTCTCTCTCCCCATCCCCCTTTTTCACTGTATACTGTAAAATAGTATGATTATATCTTTGTCAACAAAACTCAAGAAATTTTTTCTGAACCAGTAACACCTCTTTGCAGACAAGGTAGTTTTGAGATTGACGAGTCTCTGATAGAAAGTATGGAAGAAGGAATGGAGGAGGAACGTGCAGAAGGGTCTGACTCTGAAGATGACACCGACACACTGTCTGCCGAGTGGGAAACAGTAAGTGTCAGATATGCTGTTGCTTTAATTTTTTCTTTCTTAGAAGACAGTTGATGCTTTTTATCTGTCAACCTTATTACAGTATGTTTGTAACAAAAGCCATGATTGGGTTGACCCGTAAAACCTAATTCAGGTAACATTACCATTGCTGTGGTCAACTCCATGAAAAGGGGAAAACTTAAGTAACAAGCGTCATACAAAATTTAAGCACACAAACATATGAGGAACATAAGAATAGAAGAAACTGCAGAATTCCTATTGGCTCCTGTGATGCAGCTATAGTACTTGTTCCTAAACTCATCCACTTATATATTTGTCTAACCTTTGCTTGAAACACTTCCAGCAACCTATTTTATGGATTTACAGTACAAGTCTGCTTCCAAACCAGTAATTAGCAAAATCTTTTCTGAATCTAAACTTATCCAGATTGAGTCTGTTATTGTGTGTTGGTATTTTTAGCAGCCTATTATTAATAGCTCCTTAGAGAAAAAATTGAGGTCATGCGATGGTATTGAACTAGTATTCCTGGGCTCTTCAGACACACGAAGTACATACTGAAATATTATGAGCTAAATATCTCCATTGTTTTACTCTTTCATCCATTTATATACTGTGTTTTAGAGAATGTAAATTATGCTTTCTTAATCTCCCTTCATAAAGGAGATTACTAAGGCCATGGATGAACTTTGTCATTGTTCTCCACACACTGTCAGGAAATTTATGTCCGTTCAACATTATAGAACCCAAACTGAAATGTATAATCTATATGGGGCCTAACAAGCTCCAAGATGATAATTTTATTACTAACTTCTATATAAAAGTCCCAGAATTCTATTCTCATTATTTGTCTGAATTGGTATCTACCCATATAACATATAACACCATATCCTGAAATAGTTTTATATCTGGGAACCCATGTCTTACACTCACACCATAATACAAGGTTCACCATAATACATTATACCATAATACTGTACACACCATAATACATCATTAGTAAAGGTTCCTACCTTTAACCTGTAATATATATTACAGGTTAAAGGTAGTTGGGATATCTTTGATTTCCTTCTGTAACTGACTAATATTAAGTTTTCTTGGCTTATTACAGGTACCAAACATTCCCCTTCTAGAGCCTCCATCTATACCCCATCAGGCTTTTTCTACTTTTAATTCAACAGCCATTTACTCTCAGACAGGAATGGGTCAGATTGGGCAAGGAGGCATGGGCATGGGTGCCCTAGGTATGGGAGCAGGTGGTATTGTCTCCTCGGCAGCTGCATCGGTGATGTCACTCTTTAGAGGATTTGCTGGAACTCAACAAAAATAAACATTTATAGGGAAGTATGTACTGTGTTGATAATTTTAGTTTGATTTTCTTTCATGGGTTGACAAAAGATCTTGTTTTATCACCCAGTGTTAATGGTTTTATCTTGCGTTCATGTTTCTGCATTCTAGCACAATAGGTTCAGGTCATTTAATGGTTGTAGCTATGAGGGAACCCAGAAGTCTTTGTATTTTTATTAGAACATAACAAAGGAAAATTTTGCAAATGTTCCTGCACCAATTATTGATTGACCTTGAAACACATCAATAATGTTTAAATAATTTCATTCAATGAGCTTGCTCCCTGAAGCACAAATTAGTCATTTCCCATTTGCTACACTGAAGTTCAGTGTGTACTGGGTTCTGAGAATGTTTGGTTTTGAAAATACAGTATGTAATTCCAGTATTTGACTCAATTTATATGCTGTACATGTAAAATTGAAATTGTAAACATATAAGAAAAGTAATTTGCTTTTGATTTTGAATTATGTAGTAGTGCATAGAATCCTGAAAAAATTATTTTATATACAGCTAAAAGTTTTGGATCAAAGCTTTAAGAAATGTTTAAGCATATCAGAGATGCCTTTTACTTAGCATTAAAATAACAAAGATTGTAATTTAATTATCGCCATATTGCAACAGTGTATAAATGATGGAACTGTTATGCGCAGGTCCTTGACAAAGTGCTTTATAGTACAATTTCAAATAAACATAATCATGTTCTATATTTGTTATGCCTCTTCTTTTTCTATGTAACTTGAGGGGTGGTCATCCATACAATCTTCCTTTGATCTTCTCTTTGATCTTTGTTATAAGTCTTTAACAATTATTGGAACATTTGTTAAGATATTCTGTCTCCTGGTTAGACTTCATTTGTAATTTAGATTAAGCAATTAATCTGAGATACATTTAAGCACTTTAGTTATAGATAATGTCATCTACTTGAAGGAATTTTTATATAACCGCTTTGTATGTTCAAAAGTTTAGTATGACTTTTGTAATTTTATGTGCAGAATGAGTTGTTAAGCTCTTCATACGTTTCTGGGTTTTATTGAAATCCTAATATATAATTTCCTTAATTCTTGTATCCTTAGTGGCATAACAGGTATGATATACACTATGTTATGATTGAATTTAAATAAAGAAACTCAGTCGCACACACATGCATAGGAATATACAGTATATACGTACATACACTGCACTGTAATGCACCGTGAATAGATTTATGGACTCGAAAGAATGGCTGAAGGAATGATATCCACATTCATGATAACTAAAAGATATTGCTTCTTGAAGTCCTGAACATGCAAAGTACGGAATAAAAATTATAGAGAAGACAATAGGAAATACTTCATTATAAATAGTGACAAGTTGTTGTTATGACTTTCATGAAGAAGCAATATATACCAAAACCACTGTAAATAGTTCAAGATAATCATAAATTATATTCAGAAGGTAGCCCAATACAAGCATGACTTCTGCACATTCAAGATCATAAATAGATGATTGAGAACATTTCAGTCAACAGCTTTTAAAATAGATACAATGGAGTTACAGGAAATTGTGAGTAAATAGTGTTGCACCAGTTACTAAAAATGAAGAGGGCAAAAGTATCTAAAACCTGTGCCAGCATTAAAATTACATCATAGTGATATCACACACCTTGTCCACATTATGTATAAAATACAAAATTTTATTTTTGTATTAGATTGGGTTGCATTAAGTTTGTTAAATTAGTAATTAGCAATGATGTAGACAACTCAAACTTTTCTCAGGTCTTAAACTCTATTCAAAGAGGCAGACTTGAGAAATATTCTCTGCTGTATCTGCAAGTGCATACAGGTAAGAATATACATTCATGTGCACACCCACCTAACTTCAGATAATTATTTAACACTTAAGGATTAAAGACCAGACTTAATCCAGGGCTAATTCACTTGGGAAGTCAACCAAGTTTGATAGGTCCATTCTTACCTAAACTGTTGCAGGTACATAACAAAATTCAAGAAATTGCCATTATTTCATTTTTGTTGTGTATATACTGTACAGTATATCAAAGATATTTTCTGAGAAGGTCCCTGCTCAGCAGCTCCTTGTTGCTTATGCACTGGTATATGGAAGTCTTAAGAAGAACACCAGGCCTCAGACCCATGAAGTTGGAATCAGAAGTTGGCTCTATAAGATGAGCAGAGCTGGGGATCAGAGATCTACTCAAAACTGAGAAAACCACCCAGAAAGTTTAGGCAAACCAAAACAATCTATTGCTTGAAAGGAAGAAATGAACAGTGAGGAGAACAAGGCTGCCACTTGGTGCAGCAGGCAAATAACTAATAACTCTTTAACAAATGACAGACCAGGTCATAGGCTGGGGGGTAGGGGGGGGGACTTGCATGCCATGCATCTTACTCGCCTCTGACTGTTTCTTAGATAATCTATCTCGCAAATCTGAAAATAAAGAAAGTGACGATGTTTTGGTCCTTCTTGAACCATTTATTTTCAGATTTGTGGATTTTGTCTCAAATTTTCAGCCACATTGTGATTTATTGTTCTCACTTTCTTTATCCTGTTAAGTGGCATATGTTTTTCTGAAACTTTGTTTTGGTGCAGGGCCATTGCTTTGTGTTTTCAGCTGCTCTTCACAGTTATATTTAATACCATGTTTATAAGGTTCTAGTTCGTCTTCTATGAGTCTGCTCTTTTCTAGTCACTTCGTTGCCGAGTAGTGTTCATCACTGAGGTCTATTAATAAGGAGTTAATGTAGTTTACTTTTGTGTGTGTGTGAAGTGTTTGCCCCTAATTTTTGCAAAGGCACAAGGACCTAATTTTATGGCCTTGTGCCTTTGCCAGATGTGCACTTGAATCATGTTAAATGATTCTTACTAATCTGTGGCTTCTTTTGCCTTCCTTCATCAAGTATTGGTGAAGGATAGGTGTACAACGTGCCAACAACACTTCTCTTGTGCCTGACGCATTTGCCATTTAATTTAACTATGAGAACTATTACCCATGGCTTCCAGAAGGTCTGTTTACCTCATATACTCTGTTGATTGGGACAAATGGATTCCCCAACCTTTTCAGAGTAGAACTGCTTGCAGCTTTCAACGTTGTGATTTGTGTTTTTTTAATACATATGGTCCTTCTTGTTTCGTCATTTTGCCTGTTGGGTACAGAAGTTATTTCACCTCTTGGTGTGTGACATTTGTCAGTGTTGGACTTCTGTGCTGGATGAACCACCACCTCAGGCAGTGGCCTGTCAGGCCGTGGCTTCCTTGTAAACTGTGTTTTTCAGTACAAACCGTGACAGCCCCTGGCTGCCATTGATGTGGATGATGCAGACCCTTCACTCTTCTTTGAGGAGGATTATGAGTGGCTGATATTGAACACTTGCACTAAATTCCAGCCCTCCTCCTCATCACTCTTGCTCGATTATTTGGCTAGCTGATGCAGCTGGCCTTTGTGCAGTCAACTTCTAAATGACCTCAGCTCGAGGACTTGTAGGCGCTGATGGCTTCAGCATCTGGGTCTTTTATCTCTGGAGATATGACATGGAGCTTTCTGATTCTTTTGCAACATCTATATATTTCTGGGATTTTTTAAGGAAGCTCTGCTTCTAGGGATACTGAGGGCTCTTCTTGGTGCACTGACCCTTTTTTTCCTCTTGGTCTGAAGGCTCCAGGGAAGCTGCAGACTTCTTTCATGGCCCTTCTTATTCTGAAGTAGGAAGAATTTGAGGTATTCAGGATTTTTGAAAGAGGGTTCTTTGTGTTAGGTGTTAACCCCAACCTGACAGGTAGGGGTTTCATGCACCCATTGCCCAGGAAGGTACCAATTCTGTCTTTGCATTTAGACTGCTGTGAGTCTTGGTATGCACTCAATTCTGGCATAGAACATGTAGCTCCACTCTGGTTGCATTTACATATCACAAGGCTTTTACGTAGAATTCATTATGCTTGGAGTCACTGGCTTTATTTATTTATTTACACTAATCCATCTGTTGCCTCTCTTTGGCCAAGTTGGAGATCTTGCAGAGTGCATCCTTCTTTTGGCTCTCATATGACTGATTCAGCCCTGATTCCCAGCCCTTTTCTTTTATGTCCCCATCCCGTATCTTGATGGTTTGAAGCTTTCCATTAATCTTCGTGTATGTTTGTTATTTGGCATAGTGTACTGTCATCTTTATGTTAGTCGTGTGTTGGGCCTTTTTGGTATTTAATTTGCATCTTTTCTTAGGCAATAATATGAGGCTTCATGGTGGGCATTCCATCTTCTCTTCTACCTTTTGTGTTGGTCCTTAATGTCGGTAACTATTGTTATGTTTTCTTTCTTTCTTGACTCATTGTAGAGTATTGTTTAATCCTTAATACAATTACAGTACCTTGTATGATTTGGCCTTGGCAAAGCAGACATTTGTGCCGGGTATTTCTTATCCCCACTTTTTTTCCAACTGTTTCAAGAATTGTTCTCCTTCATCCAGCTCTTGCTCCTTCTGAACCTTCTTGGTCATTGGATCAGGCTCTGGCATTTAGGTCCTCTCCATGCTTCCCAGGTGGAGGCTTTTTTAACCCTGATCCAAGGCACAACATTTCCAAGTCATCTACAAGATGGTTCAGTTCAGCTAGCCTATCTATCTATCCTAGCACTCATGATGTGCAGAAGTGTGCTGGTTTGGCAGTTTTCTTTGCTAATGTGTCCATGGCTAATATCTGAGCTCTGTATTTTTGGGTGTCCAACACTGTGTTGGTTTCTCATTACTTATTGGGTGATAGGTCTTAACTTAATGTGCTTGTGTGGCATTGAGGCATTTGCTGTGTATCTGATGCTCTGCTACCTGAGGTCCACTGCTGTCATTTTCCACAGGTAAATAAGTTTTTTGTCTTTTTCAAAGAAGTCTCTTTTCTTGAGATATTTTTTGGAGTCAACTATTGAGGTGAATGCCTTCTCAAAAATTAAGCAGTGAATATCATGAAACAGCTTTTTATGGTAGGCATTCAGTAGCCTTCAGTGTCTGCTCTGTTCCATTGTTCCCAATGGGGAGTTTTGGGCTCAATCAACACTGGTGGTTTGTAAGTGAAATGGGTGGTAGACCAGGACCTCAGATGACCTGAGTCGTCATCTAGTAACAGCCAGGCACAAAAAAGTTAGGGTTGTTTGCCCAGTGTAATGATCAGGTGACTTGTTTCTTGAAATACATTTTTTTTTACGAGCAGTAACTTCATATAACATCTAGCTTTTATTTGTTATTAATTTCAATGTATTATTTTATTAAATGTCAGTTTTAAATTGAGTTGTATATTAGGGTTGTGTGTGTGTAGTACTAATGTGTCTGGCTAGCATTTATTATTGTCTAGCATTTGTCTAGACATTTAAACATTGACAGTGACATCTAGACATTGTCTAGACATTTAACAATGTTTAGCATTTATTTGTATTAGTTTCAATAATTAGTTATTAATTTTATTTTGCTATAAATAAAAGTGAAAATAAAACAATGTTAATTTAATTCGTATTTTAGTGTTAGCAAGTATTTTATTGTGTATGGGTGAGATTGTTTATTTTAGTGTGATGTAGAGTAGTTTCCCATGCTTTAGTCTCTCCTCTCCCTCTGTACTCCACAGGACAGAAGAGCTGCTTCTAGTCAATGATGGTGTGTTTTGAGCTGTATGGTGAGGTGGTAACCTCACTGAAGTTTTAAGTAGATCTCTGATTCTCAAGCACCCCTCATTTCCAGAGAGAACCAGATGCTGGTTCTGGCTCCCAGTAAGTTAGCATGAATTTCAGAGGTGTGGTGCAATTATTAACTCTTACTATACTAGTGAATAAGCACTAGGAAGCTATAAAGGGCATACCAGAAATGGTTGTTTCATTACATTCAGTGCTTAGTTTTTGTAGGAGTGCTCACATGTGGAACTATTGGCACCCACAGATTATAGCAACAGAAAATAAGAATCCCTTTGAAGTACTGTACAATAATACATTTCAGGCCAAAATGATACCAAAACCAGAATGATATGTTCATGATTTAAATTTAAGAACATTAATGGTTAGCTTTTGTTTATCAAACATGATCTACAACTGGTTTTTCTATTATTGCATTTTATCTTAACTTTTTTTGTGTGTGTGTGAAGGGCATTGTAATTCAAGAGAAAAAATACATACAAGGCATTATACTGATTAATGAAGGATTGTAACACAAAGAATTTTTGCCTCCATTTGAATATGAACACTTAAAAAAATTAGCGACTTAAATTGGGTGGTGTGGTACACTAAGTCCGTGAGTGATTAATCCTTGTTTACGTGTTTACACAAGTTATGCATTCCCAAAGATTTGTTTATATTTATTAATTTTACTTTAATTTTTCATTTTTTTTAAATAGCATTTAAACTACAAATTTTCATTAATTGCAGTACTGTATGTATATTTGTAAACATTTCCTCTATTTCCTTTAGTAACTCTATCACACTTACAAAAAATCATGGCCATATAAAGTATGAGCAATATTGATAAGTTACTCCAAAGTTTTATGCAAGCTGACAAGGTAAACCAAATTTGTTTAGTTTACCAATTTAGTATTAAGAGATTTAGAAGAGAAGCATAGTACTACAGTACATAAAATGCTTTGTTGTTTTCTTGTATAATTCATTTTTAAATCGTACTAATTAATGTTTTGTAATTTTATATATACCTTTTAAGGTTAACTTTTTTGCTCAATATTAAAATGTTTAATATAGAAGTTTGCTACCAATCTAATAAAGGTATATTATTTACCAACATATGTAAACTTAGATTAATTACAAACAAACAATATTTTAATGACGTCTTACTCCTCCTCCTACTACTCCATTTGTCCGTTCCAGAAATGTGTTTTATGTTTAAACCAACTCATTAAGCTAAAGAAAGGTTCATAATTAATAGATATTCTGGGTAAAATATAATAATAAAGGATTGTTTGCGAGTCTACAGAACACAGCTTCGTATTTTATAGCACAATAATGATTACAAGTATCATTTCTAGGATTTATTTCATCTTATTTCCCTTTCTTGGAAATAAGACTGGGACATAGTAAATGCTCTCAAATTGCATCATTTACTGGGGTTTTCATTATTTCCTTTATAATTGAAGAAGCCTTGCAGCAGTGTTTAAAGGGTGGAATCTCTACTGCTTAATAGTAAAGAACTAAAGAAGCAAGGCAGGAAAAAACAATGTAAAAAGAAACATAAGAAGATGAAGAATAATGAAGATAACTTAGAGTAAATGGGAAAGTGATCTCAGAAAATTGTGCATGACATAGTAGCAAACTTTTGAAGTAATATTTTTATGTATTAAGTACCCCCTAAGAACAAATCCACTAGGGCCGTGACGAGGGTTCGCACCTACGTCGGAGAGGATCCCAGACGCTGCCTTAAGAGGTCTTAAGGCAGCGAGGAAGGAGTCTTAGGGAGGCTGCCCTACCACCCTAAGAGGTCTTGCCTTGATGTAGTGAGACTTATGGCTCTCATATGACTCCCTGGGCGTGTGTGTGTGTGGCCTTGCTTGGCCCCCTCGCCTGTATGCAAAGGAGACCAACATAGGGCTCCTGTTTATGGGGTTGCTCATGAGGGGGAAGCCACCCTTGGATCCTGGCTCGGTGTCCAGGCTGGGGCAAGATGGAGGAATAGGTCTTTGCTCCAGTGTAGAAGAATGTAAGATGCAGTAAGACTACTGTTAAAAAGAGGAGGGGGGCACTGTTTGTGACTACCCTTTCTGGCATGAGCCAGCACTCGGTCTCCCTTGGTGCCCTGGTAGTATCTCAAGGAGTCTTGGGCCCAACCTTTTGAAAAAATTATGTATATAGATAACAAAACTACCTCTTAAACACAGGCTCCTGGGGCAGGAGACCAAGCCATGTGTTTGGATTATGTAGCTACAATGGGCCTAAACCAGGTTACATGTTTGGCGTACTCAAATGATCCTTTCTATTTCCCTCCCACTGCCTTGGCAGGGTCAAATCCCAAGCTCCCCAGTGGTGACTTCCTCATCACTTGGAGTGACTCCATCTTTAGTTGTTACAACTGTGCCTTTTACCCCCCTCTTTAATGAGGACCACCCATTATAGATGGGGTGTTGTGAATAATGCTCATACTTGTGAGCATTATACTAGATATTCATAAAGCTACACGCCTATCAGTCTCGTGCCCCTACATGAATCATACTCGTGCCTTTATACAAGTAAAATACCCGTGCCCTTTTATTTATATATACAAAAGTTCTTATATTCTTGTAAAGCCACTTGCATGCATAACATTTCGAGCAGATTTTTAATTAAATTAATCTTAATTTTTCCATGGAATATGATCCAGCAGTTCGTTTAAGAACCAGGAACCCATTCACTGCTGGGTGAACAGAGGCTATAGTTAAGGATTGGCGCCCAGTTAATCCTCCTAGGCCAGGATACGAACCCAAGCCAAAGCTATTATGAAGTACCGGTCGAGTGTCTTACCACTGTGCCACGGGGGACCCTTAAAATCAAGGAATCAGAAGAACCACTTTTCCCTGGTAGGACTCAAACCTAGCCAGAGCCTAGAGCAACAGCTGGACAGAGGTGAGAAGGTACTGAATCTCCTGCCATGATCATTCCAGCATCCATTGTGAGGGCCTCGCAATTGGGAAATGAAGCAGCATAAAGAAAGAGGAAAGCACCAGTTCCAGACCAATGTACAAATCATGTCAAAAAAACAAAAATCAACATTAAATGTAACATTGATATTTCATTATATTCAATGCTGGTTCTCTAGGAAGGAGCTCCTTGTGGCTTCCTGAAGTTACTTATCCATGGAGAAGGAAAACAATGGGACATACCAGGGAGGAGGGTATCACAAGAAGAAGCCAAGGGCCGCGACACATGGCCCAAGGCTACACAAGTCCGACAATAAGGATTAACACTGACAAGATACTTGGCTGCTAGGACCCAGTTTGACACCCAAAACCCCCCCACACCCAAATATCGACCCAAGACAATATTGGCACTAGTTTGACTCAGGATAAATGTAAAACTTCCTTCCTGCACTAAGTGCAGAATGTCTGTATGACCAGTCTGACTGTGCTTCTTTTCCAACAAAACCAGAAAGGCCCATTTCTTAGGAAGCAACCAAAAGGGATAGATAGTTCAAAGAACTCTGCTTTAATTGGTTGAAGAATTAACTTGATCAGAGGATATCAGATATCAATGAATCCATTCTTACTCTCATGATCATTCTGAATAAAGATGTGACTCAGTCCTAGGCCTCTAAAACTGATATTCAGCTTTTGTGATAGGGCTACATAAAACACAGGCAATTTTATTTTTAACATTTTTATTATGAATTCAAAAGAAATACACACTATACCAGAAGCACCAAAACACAATACTGGTACTATATGTGGTACTCGTCTTACAATTAGCGAGTCCCCCAGGTCCCGCAGTCAATGTAGCTTGACAGATACCATGTTAAATAGCATGGGACTATTGATTATTAGATTCACTGGGCCAGTTCTCCAGTGTTTTGTTGGCTAGTTGGCTTTAATTTGGCTAAAAGATTCTGTTAATAATGTTAATGATTTAGTTACGTGTATTTTGTTAGGTTAAATCAGATGAGATTTGTTGAGTTACAGAAAACGTTCAGAAATTCACAAGTAATTTAACAAAAACAATTAATGAAAACCAATTAAAACTATAAAAACAAATATTAAAGTCAAGTTATACAAAATACTAATATTATTTCACAGTACAGTACTATACTGTAATGAATTACCAGTACGTCTCGAAATAGTGAGAAGTACCATTGATCAGTAAAAGTCTTAGTAATTTTTTTCCTGAAAATATGACTTTAATCAAATGTATTGTGCATCTTTTTTATTTCTGTGTATATATACACCAAAGATAATTTTAAGTTGTAAAGACTCATTTATTTCTGTATATACAGTACATACATACATACACCAAAGAGTAATTCCAAGTTGTTAAAGGTTATAAGACAATTTAGTTAATGCAGTAATGAATTTTAAGATTTATGGTTTATCCACAGGAAATTTTATCTGTAATTAAGTTATTCCAATCCTGTGTATTTTTGTATATACACATATATAGGTAATTGTTGATTATTGTACTGTACTACTGAAAATTAATTACATTAGAAATATTATTTTGCCATCATGCTGATGGATTATTTTGGACATTCACATTGGTTAATGAAAATATTCTGAATAATGATGTCAACAACACACAAGTTCAACAAACATCAGCAGGATGAGGCAAGTTATCATTGGCATTAAATATTTGAGCTTAGTTTACAGCTTCAGAACAACTTAATGATTAGTTAATGTTATCTATGTTATCTAAGCATTCGTTCTTTGTAACTAATATATCTAAATCATTGCCAAAAAATTATGTTTGATTCTATGAGGTAGGGCTAATTTTGATAAAATAGTCTGGACTGCATACTACAGTATTCCTAAATCTACCGGCATATGTATTTTAATCTAATACATATTAAATTCTTCTTTTATACCTAGTATGTGCATCAAAATTGAAATATTTTTCTAAAAAATTAAACAATTTGCTATAAAGCAGAAGTATTGATATTAAACTACAAATGAGTAGATCTGTACAACTATAGCGAGCAGAATTAGTAGCTCTTGATATCATTAGTGGTACTGTGGAGGCTTGCACAATGGTTTTGCTTACTAATCTGAATTATTGCATAATGAGCCACACGCTGTCCTTAAATTCTTAAATCATTCACATCAAATCTCAGTACAATATCTGTACTGTGATTGCCTTTATATGTCTTCAATAACAATTTTATTATTGTCTCCCATTTAATTTGTTCTCCACTCTACTCCTTCAAATTTAAATTTGCCTTCAACTTATACTATTTATTTCCTTTGTTTCTCTTTTAGACTATATTTATCCATTTTCTCATTCAGCCCTCATATTTTTTTCACTAGGGCTCTTCTGTTTTTCACTCTACATTTAAAAAATTACTCTTAAATTTTGATATACAGGCATGGTTATTACTACGACTACTACTACCTGTACTTATAAAAGAAAATGTAAAAGTTTTGTATTACTATACTATAATAATAAACTTAATCTTTTGATTAACAATCTCATGAGGAATTATTATTTACTAATGTAAGTTATCTTGTCATCACTTTGTATTTCATTAGCATTTTATATCAAACGGTAAATAATTACAATTTTCATTATTTTCAGAATTATTAATTTCTATTCTTAACATCCATTTTCTTACTCTCAGCAAGCTGTATGAGTATTCAGTCACTACCACCACTTTCCCTACTCATCAATATCTCGCACGTGTGCCATTATCATTCTTGTTGTGCATCATTCATTCAACTAAAATTTCTGTATCATTTATATTTTGTTAGTAATGGGCATTACCAGGCATGATCTACAATTTATACAGTATACTGTGTATAACAATACACACACACACACACACACACACACACACACACACACACACACACACACACACACACACACACACACACACAGAGCAGCTCTCAGCCTGTCACTACAGTTAGGCAAATATACTTAAGGGCAGATGCTTGACCCCTGCAAGCATAACTAGGTGGGTACACACATGCATGCAGACATATATATTCCTGTACATAAAGATGTCTGAAATGACACATCAGACATCTTTGTGTACAGGAATCTTGGCAGATATATGGTAAATGTAAACATAGTTCCAATCTACAAAAATGGTAGACGTGAAAACTCTCTTAATTATAGACATGTATCATTGACAATCATGATAGTCAGAACACTTGAAAAAATAATGAATTCCAAATGAGTAGAATACCAGGAGAGAAATTACAGACAGTATGGTTTTTGAACAGGGGGATCCTGGGTAACAAATCTATTTAGTTTATATGGTAGAGCAACAGAGATTTTACAGGAAAGAGATGGTTGACTGCATTTATGTGGACCTAAAGAAAAGGCTTTTGACAGTCCTACATAAGAGGATGTTCTGGAAACTGGAACATAAGGTACTGGAGGGGTGAGAAAAACTGCTCATATGGATAAATTTTCTGACAAAGTTGAGGGCAACAATCAGAAGTAATGTATTATACTGAAGAAATGCTACTAATGGAGTGCCACAGGGTTCAGTTTTAGCACCAGTAATGTTCATTGTCTATATAAATGATGTACCAGAAGGAATACCAAGTTATATGAACATGTTTGCTGATGATGTCAAAATGCTAGGGAAGATAAGAGGCTTAGACAATTGTCATGCCTTTCAAGAAGATCTGGACAAAATAAGTGCATGGAGCAACACTTGGCAAATGTTATTTAATGTAAATAAATACCAAATTATGGAACGTGAAATGGTAGATTTTACAACCAACTAATTGTGAAAATGCTTTAAAATACTCTAATAAAGAAAGTGATCTAAGGGTGGTGCTGGATAGAAAACTATCACCTGAGGACCATAAAGAATGTTTTACGAGGAATGCATGCTACACTTCCAACTTCAGAAGGAATAGTGGAATATTAAAGAAATTGTTCATGATCTTTGCGAGACCAAAAGTGTAATTTGCAGTGATTGTATTGTGCCCATATCTCAAGAAACAAATCAGTAAACAGGAAAAGTGCAAAGACATGCAACTAAATGGCTTACAAAATTTTTTGTACATCTTTTGAAATAGATGAGAAGTCAGACAGAAGGAGCCTTGGAATGACTGTTTCAAATAATGTTACCACATGATACATACAAGCTGTATGAGTATTCAGTCACTACTACCACTTTCCTCTTGGAAAGGGAAAGGGAAATACCCTCTTGGAAAGGGTACTGGAAAGTGAAAGAAGAAAAAAGAAGACTTGGATAAAGATGTTAAAAAGAGACCAAGTATCAGACCAATATGTATAGAATTTTAATAAAATAAAAAAGAACAAGAAATAAATACACAACCACTAGGAGAGATTTTTTCTATACATTTGAGAAATTCAAGCAAATACAATCTCAATTTTTTCAAATTTGTAAGAAGCAAAGTGAAAAAGAATGACAAGCCAAAAACTGATAGATGAGAATACAATAGTGTAGATTGAACTTGAAATCTATATGTTTTAAGTACAGTACTGTAATATATATCAGTGCCTTCACAAATGAGGGTGAGTTCAGGATTGCAGAGATAAAGCTCTAGGAGTTAGCTTGTTGTGGGGTTTGGGGAGAGTCAGTAGGTCGACATTTGATTCGGGGGACCTCGATATAAGCCTAGCATACATATGTATACTGGCTGCCTGTTCTTGAACACAATGAATTATTATCTATACAATATATTATTTGTGACCTAAGGTGAAGTACATAGCAGCAATGTGGTGCCCACATCATAAGCAGCATATAAATAAAAAAAAGAGATTACAGCACTTAGATATGCAGAAGCTGAAAATTAAAACAGAGCATGATCACAACCTTCAGAATCCTTGCAGGCTGTGAGATGCTTGAAAGGGGAGAAGGGAAGAGAACTACAAGAAGAAAATCCTCAAGCCTTTTACAAATATATATAGCACTTGGAAGGGATAAGGATTTGGGATGGGATGGGATACAAATTTGGTTAAATAAAAGGTGAGGGCATCATCTGAAGCTGAGGAAACAAAGATGTAGAACGAGACATGAAGAAATTCTGTTTAACCAATAGGGTGGTTATTATGTGGAATGAGTTACCAAGCACTATGGATGGTGCCAACAGTACAGTATACTGTAGTCCAATTTAAAACTAAAAGTGATAAATACTGTAAATGCTGGAAGACGGGATACCACGTGCATAGTTCCCTTCTTATCATTATGACACTTAAGTAATTGCCCACACATACACACGCACACACACACATATGCACATACAATCACACTAATACATACATATGTCTAATAATCTCCGAATGCCATATGTACAGTACAGGTATATTGATTTGAGGTAATTTTCTTTACTAATTATACCAGTTACATAATTGCCATACATGATTATCATTAGCATAATTATTGCAAATTAATGTTATTTACAGGTTTACACTCAGGATTTTAGCAAATGTACAATCTCTACTTTCATATTACAGTAGTACTGTACAGTACAAAGTCTATCCTTAGTTTCATTATACAGCATAGTGCTGTACAAAGACAATCATCAACAGTGATATGCTAAACCTTGAGACACAACAATACATGGTGCTTGTGTTTCCAAACTCACACTGCATGAAGGCAAAGTTATTGGTGTTCATCAGTGGAACATCTTTAATTGTGCAATCAAAGAAGTAGTTTGTGCCAAAAACTATTATTGAGGCACCATACTACAATATATATATATTTTACAGCTTTTTAGGATATCACAGAAGTGTAAAATATGGCATCTGAAGTTCTAGCCTTAGGGATGAACAAGGTCAGCACAATGTGTTGTGAAGGGTTATGAAAAGTCATGAACTAACTCTGAGAATTATTTACAAATGGACATCATGACAGCTTTACATATTCAAAGATAACAGTTTTATAACAGACAACAATAAGTTTTCAAGGCAGAAGATTGTTCTCATGAAATGAGTATTCACAATTAAAATAATGTTGGACTCGGTCTGGCTGACGTGTATCACTTAAGTGTCTTAGCCCAGTGAGGTCTCAGCCAGTCACTCTGGTCTGCTGCATACAAAGCTTTTACTGGGCACTGAGATGGATTGTAAGTTATGCAACCGTTATTTGTATACACTGATATTTAATGAAAAAGGTGATTTAGTTCATACAGACATTTCTTCCATGACAGCTGAATTTAATTATGTTTCATTTAATCACTTATTAAAATCTGCCTTGAATTCTAAAATATTTAGGAAATATCAGTTTTACAACAGATAAACAAAGCTGACATCCACTGCAGATGATATATAAATTTAAATATGTAGATAAAAATATTGTTCATTTCTTAAAAATAGATAACTGACATTCTGTTAAAATACAATGGCTTTGTCAGTTGTTTGCTTATAGTCTCTACTAGTATGTCTGTAGTCCAGCACCTGTCTTAATCTTATGACCAATGAATATCACTGCTTTTGTGAACACTTTTGTGGAAAACAGCCCAAACTTGGTACAGTATTTGTTAAGACAAACATTTTGTTACATTATTTTGTATTTCTTTACTTATGCAGTGGTCAGCCTTTACATATCTATGACTGGAATTGTAAAATAAGTTTATGTCCTTGAAGATTTAAAGATAAATTTTTAACAAAGTTTCTCCAAAATATCATTAAATATTCAGGGCATCAGTTTTTGATTTGATATTGTTAAATGTTGTTCAAAAACATTGCTTCATCAGTGTAATATCTTTTGCTGCTGATTACAGAATTACAGTATATAAATCATGTTCATGGTGTTTGTAAATACTTTTAACAAAGTGACTTTCATAAAAATGAAGCCACTGACAATACTTCAGGAAGATTACAATTGTTTAGTGCCATTATTCACCTGGCTTATCCACAAATGAAAAATTTAATTATAAGAATTTTGTAAGAAATAAGAACTAGTGACAATTAACAAATTAAATCTGAATACACAGACTTTCACCTGAAGACTCTTGGCTATTTATATTGAGTGTATCATGCTGCCTCTCAGCTGGAGGTCAGGGACTGGGGTGACTCCAAAGACTCAACCTCACACTTTGCCATCTTGAGCATGACCTCGAGGTGAAGAAAGAATGCCTTCTCAGTGTAGGTGTTGAGAGCCTTTCTTGTATAGTCCACAGGAGGGTTGTACCTGCAAGGAAGCAGTATCAGAATGCAAGTGAAGTGCAAGTGGGTGGAAGGTTCACATGATGTAAGTGGTACTGTACATACGTAGGTTGATTATAGAAGAATTTTTTTTTTTGCAAATTACAAATCATCTTTAAATACAGTACAGTGTACAAGTGTCTAGTTTGTGTAAAACGTAGATGGATTGTGGAGAAACAGTAATATTGTTTGTAATATAATACAGTGGGTTATGGGGGTTGTAATTATGTATTGTAGGTGGTAATTAGTTGGGATGTTTTGAAATAATGATGCAGGTGGTATAGTAGAAGAGCATGAGATGTAAAAGTAGATTTGAGTACAGTTGGGTTTGCTCTTAACTCTCAATTGGGAATCCCAGGTGAAACACAAATGGTTGGGCATGTTTCCTTTCACTAATCCCCCCCCCCTGTTAACCTAGCAGTAATAATTAATAATTCATTGTGTCAGGGGAACAGGAAGCCAGAATGGGTTTATACACATTTTGGCTTTTATTAACAGCCAAAACGTGTTTGGTTTATCGTAAACCAAAACTTTTATCGATTGGGTCCATTGTTTATTGCAATAACAACACACAGGCAATGGAATGTACAAGATGCTTCTGTGGTTGTCTTCAAGACTTCAATGGCCAAAGTGAATAATTCATTGTGTTGGGCACAGGCAGCTAGTTTATACATACAGTACATGTTAGGCTTCTTGAGGTTATCTTGAGGCTTATATCGAGGCCCTCCCCCCCCCCCCAGGAGGCCCCTTCACCCACCCAAGGGTCGAATTATATAGCAACAGCAATGCAAATTGCTGTACCAATCTTCCTGTCCTCTTCGGCATCTGACAATCTTGTGAAGAAAGTTCTACCTGACTACTTAGATCAGCTGGCAGGCATACACGATCTCAATTTTATACGCTGTGTTACTGAGTGGGCCTCTTGTGCAGGCCAAGCACTTCAACCACCACCATCAAAAGCCCACAAACAATCCAGCTGGGATGGCCCCACTGTAGACCAAGCTGCTGAAGAGTGCATGGGTGCTGCAACAACACCACATGACATTGCTCGCCTCACAGCAGTAGCAGCCCCACATGCAGGGGACTTCCTGTTAGCAACCCCAATGTCAGTAACTGGCACACGTCTCACACCACATGTACTTTGAATTGTTGTGGCCCTCCGCCTCGCTGCCCCAATCCACACCAAATATAGGTGTATTTGCGGCAATGTGGTGGCTGACAGGTACGGCCACCATGGCCTACTCTGTCAAAGCACAGGGAGATGGCACGTGAGGCACAGTGAAGTTAATGACATAATCAAGAGGAGCCTCACCACAGCTGGATGCCCAGCTTGAGAGAGAGCCCTGTTACCTAACGCCCCTTAACTCTGCTACTCTTATTGGTCGCCCAGATAGTATAACAGTGAACTCCTGGAAGAATGGCAAGCAGTTGGTGTGGAATTACACGTGTGTATCAACCCTGGCTAATAGCTACATTGACTTCAGTGTTGCACATCTGGGTTCTGCTGCCATGTATTAGGAATCAGCCAAGTCCCATAAGTACAAAGAAGTGGATATTTATAGGTTGCCAATAATAAATCATGAGCACCAGCTTATGATTTCTGGGAGGACTTCCTCGATAGCTCCATGGACCAAGTGCTTGTCCAGCCAAACCTTTGATAGAGTCCCTGGTGGCGTATGGTAACATAATCGCCCCCACACCTTACAAATGATTTGGTCAGTGTTGGATTCCTGGCTAAAAATGATTGACTGAATGCCAATCCTTCGCTGTTCACCCCTATTCACCTAGCAGTAATTTGGTACCTGGTTGTAAACTGATTGGTAGGTCGTGTTCCAGGGAAAATAAATGGGTAAGGTTTAGCATGAGCTATGAGTCAGGGAAGCTCTTGGCTTACTAACATGAGTCAGAACTCGTCCATTCCTGTACCCACCTGTGTAAAAAAAGAAAATACACCAGGTGTCTGAGACCCTCCTTGCCAACCAGGAGCTGTAGTTTTCTGCTAAACTTAATCTTCCATTCTTGAAGATAAGCTTAACTTTCAGGGGGATTAACCTTAAACAAACCGTAGTAGTTGAACATGCAAAATACCTTCAAAATATAGGAGATGCTAGTTTTATTCTCAGATATTGACCTGAGGTGGAAGTACAAGTGTTGCGCAGGATGATGGAGTTGATTTAATAGCTTTGGAACGCCTTAATTATAGAGGAAGGAGGATAAAAGTGAAAAAACAGACTCGGTGATAAAGGGAGACATAAGAGAGAGAGAAAAAAATATATATAATGATAATGGTAGAGAAATTAAAGTTTATTCAGTTACAAAGAGAGGTTTATACACATCAGAAAAAAAAGAAGAGAGGGGTTGACTTACAGCTCACAGACGAACTCGCCATTGGAGAGGTCCTGCCGCTCGAGGAAGGTGTAACAGAGGGTTGAGACAACTCCTCGCTCCGGCCGGTGATGACGCAGTTCCAGGAAGATGGCCATATCTATTGGGACGGTTACAGGTTAGGCAACTGTACAGTGGTGAGAAGGGAAAGAGAGATTTGTAGTGATCAGAAAGAACTTTGTAGCAGTAAGAGCCAACTGTCAAAATTTTCATATTACGAAGAACGGAAGAAACTGCCACCACTCTACGGCTAAAACGTAAATACGATTTCAGACTTCATTAAAATTGCAGGGGGGTCGCTGAGAGACGGACTCAGACTGGTTTATGTCTGAGTCCGTCACATGTCATCTTGGAAAGTTGGGTGAGGCTTGCCTCAGGTTAGCCTGGGGCTACTTTGGACAGCCAATCATACAGACATTGTTTGATAGATATAGATATCAGTACTTCGTTTGATAGATATATCAGTATATATTAATTTTATATACATTAATAACAGTGACCATTATTATCATTGCACACAATGATAATATTGGTTATGCATATATTATACCAGGCATTGCCCGAGTCTGGCTATTTTTCCCATCTGTTCATCTATCTATCCATCCATCCATCTGTCTATCCATCTATCCACATATATATCCACCTATCCACATATATATCCACCTATCTATCCGACTGTATCCATCTATTCAGTTATTTATCCATCTACATTCTTTCTGAATTTACGTGAATTTATCAGAGGCCGACTCGAGGCCACCAACACTCGAGTGACCTCAACGAGGACAGGAAGCCGGCGACTTGTTAAAGGTCCCCCATATGTCCTAATGATTTTTGTTCAAGCTGGATTTTAAAATTCAACAGTTTTGGCATTTACGGCTTCGGCGGGTAGGCAGTTCCATGGGTTTTCTTTAATTGTTATCCTTTTACTCATATGACTTGGAACCAATGAGCACATAACAGGTCACGTGACCTGACTTACCGTCAGGCAGTTCCTCCAGTGCCCTCTGAAGGTGGACCTGCGACGGCGCTCTCAGGTAGTTCTTGTTGACCACTTCCCATACTGCCGTGTCCTGCATCGCCCCTGCCCCCACCAGTTCGCCCTGGGGGTCTGTAACATACATATACACTCATAGCTTCACAAGTTACGTATCAATAGCTCAGAATGAAGGTGGTTAGAATGATGTGGTTTACATAAAGAGGCTAGGATATATACACACGCTTGACCTGACTAAAGTATAACGCATAAGAACTAGGAAATATTCAAATCGGTAAGTATGTGTGTGTGTTTTGTGTTTGTGAGACGAATCTTTAGGAAAGGAGACAAAAGTAATGTATTTACAAAATAGTGTCCCCTGACACCCTGACACTCTCCTTCACTGTGAGGGAGTGCTGAAAGATACGTGAGTTTAGAGACAGCTCTATAACAAATGTTAAAGAAATGTGTAAATATTTATTTAATTAAAAGTGATTGGCCAAAAAATTTAAAATATTGTGGTGAGGAAGGAAATTTTTGAATGCATTACACCAGCCTCTCCTCATAAAACGATAGTATTTATTGAACAATTTGGTCAGACAATATTTACAGATTTTCACCATTGCAACAATCGGAAATACAGATTCGACCGTTAATAAATCACAAACCCCAAATACTTACCCCTGATGGAGACTCTGACAAAGGGAGAGACGAGACGGGCTGTATTTTTAACGCCCAACTTCTCCATGGCCAGGACGACGTAGGTAAAGCCCATTTCGCAGAAGGGCGGAGGCTTCACGGACTCCTGGTGAGCATAGATCTCTGACACTGTTGTGTCAGTATTGATGTCAGATTCGTCGTCAGTTTCGTTGCTCTCATCCGAGCTGCAGCTGTCGCAGCTCAACGTGGAACGTACGTCTGCAAATTCTTCTTCTTCTTCTTTCGTGTCTGATTCTGCATCCTCTGTAGTGCTGTCATCGGGCTGCGGACTAACTGAACCCTTTTTCTTGAACGGCAGGTATTGTTGCAGAATCTTCCGCGTCGTTTTAGGGGACTCGGAATCATCCAGATCAGTCTGAACAGCAGCTCCACCGTTCTTCTCGTCGGGTTCCATTTCACCTACATCAGTTGCATCTGTTGCATTGTTATTCTTCAAAGATTCCCGCTGGCGCTTGTTGACTGAAGCTGTGTTTGGCCTGACAGTAAAGTCGATGCCCTTTTCGGAGATCATGGCACCAGGAAGACCCAATAAGCTGAGAAAGTCACGTTTTTCCTTAGCAAAGACAACCTTATTGCTCTGACCCTTCTCCTCGTGTCGGTGGTGAGTGCGGTGCTTCCGTTCCCGGTACACCAGCACCACCGGTACCCTGGCCTTGGACACCATCCGGCTGATGGTCTGCAACACCTCTACGCACTTGTTCAGCTCCTTCAGTGCCACCCCTTCAGGCGACACTGAAGTCAACTCCCTGGAGGTTGGTGCGGCTGAGGCATATCCTGGTGTGTTGATCTGGCCACGGGACCCCTTCAAATTTATCTTCAAGTACTGCGTTCTCTGGTCAAGACAGGTCAACACGTGACTGAGTAGCTTCTGTATAGGGTAGAAATATGATGTCAGTTACATAAGATCAACTAATAGCAATATTTTAAAATAGGTAACTACTCCTTGGTGTAATTACTTATTTTCAAATATTGCCTCAGAGGCAAATTATGTTATATTTCTTGAGATATTGGATTGACCAATCGATATCTGGAATGCTGGACTTAGGAGTTGAAGCTCGACCTAGCAAAAGTGCAATTAGTCAGGCAAGGGCACTTCATCGGGTACATCACCATCATTTACATAACATTTATAGTTATTACATTTATGTTGCATAACTATTGCAGTTTCTGACAGACTTGGTGCACCTTCTCTGGCGCTTACAGATGGTAATGGAGTGAGTGTCACTGGCAGAAATAGTGCAAACATTATGGTCTATTTACGCCCCCATCAATAAGTGCAGAGATTACCGTATGTTGTCTTTTTGAGTGGCTTTAGGTAACTACGGACCCTATATGACCATATGAGAAGAGACTTGACCTCTCGTGGTATCTACTTAACACTGGTTATTGTCGTCGACTGAGATTTCACATTGGAGTTTCCGAAGATACAAATGAGTTTTGAAATTGGAATAAATTACTGTAGGAGGAACAAGAGGTTTCGAAATTGAGTGTAGATGGCAGTGTTGAAGTGTTCAAATAGGGCTGGAGGCCTACTTAAGAGCATTGGCAGTCATAAAGGGATACACAACTTCTACAGGCAAATATCGGTGTTAAAAATGAATAACACGAAACAATGTGAAATTTCAAAGGTAGTTCAAATGTTTAGGGGGTTATTACCAGCTTAGCAGTCTGTAAAGGAAGTGTAATGTTTATAGGGTTAGAAAGCACAGCTTAATATAATTAGAAGTGGCTGAAAAGGCGAGGCCGGAATTTAGATTGATAATTTGTTTTTACAATTAATGGAATTTAATATTTTTTAGAATGTAGCTATATAATTATCTTCCGAAATGGTACTGTAATTAGGCATTGGCTTGAACTTTCCCGCATGTTAGGAAGTTTCGGTTTTTCAGTCGAGTGGGGATATGGTAATTTTATGGCTGTAGGGAACGATCTGGAAAACTGCAGGACAAAGTAGTGTGGGATGGATCTTACCTTCTGGTCGCAGGTCAGTTGCTCGTAGTCATATATGGCTCCTTTAGTGATCTGACGGTTCAGTCTGCAAGAACAGGGAAAATAAACATTAATAGGATTGAATAAAGTTATCGAATTGAAGGGATATATATATAGTTATCGATATTGAATAAATATATATATATATAATATATATATATATATTATATTATATATATATATTATATTATATATATATATATTTCGTACCTAGATATATATATAAGCCAAGTATATATATATTATATATTAAATATATATATGACCGAACCTATATATATATATATATAGGTACGACATATATATATATATATATATATATATATATATATATATATATATATATATATATATATATATATATATATATATATATATATATATATATATATATATATATATATGTATATATATATATATATATATATATATATGAAGATAATGACGGAAGCTTAGTCCACTGGGAAATAGCAATTAGGTTATATAGACTACGTCTAGGTTACCCAGACAGAGAGAATGCGTCTTCTGCCAAACTGTCAGAGGATGCAGAAAAGCCACTACTTCACTATCTCCTGGAATGTGAAGCAACGAACGACCTTAGAAGAGCTTTAAGAGTCCCCGAATCTTGCGGTAACCACCCTGAAGCCATCAGCACAGCCACTCTTCTGGTCAAAAAAGGTTTTCAGCATCTGGGCACCCTCATAAATACTGTCAAGCAGTATCCTCCCCCGCGATAGCAGCTTGGAGATTAAATGCAACCTCAGAACACTGAAAAGATTTACTGAACAAAAAATTGTACCACTTTCGGGCTATTCATGCTCGTGCCACCTCTTGGGTGGCTTAATCTTTATCAATCAATCATCGACGGAAGCTTAGGCACTACCTTCTTCACCTCGTCTCCAGTTCCTCGCTCAAGATTTCTGCATCCTCGCTCCGTTGTTCCATCCCCTGAATGCCAGCTCAATGGACATTTTCAATTCAAGCTTAGGCAAGCATAGTTAGAGGATAAGTTGGATCTCTCGGCTGACAGTGTTACCCTGAGCAGCCTGTGCTGTAGAGGTCGTGTAAATTGAAGGGCTTTTAATTTAGCTTATTTATTATGCACCTCATCATACCCATCCAGTGAGCGATAATGGGATAGCCACATATTGGGCTCTGAAACTGAACCCCAGAATTCCTTTACCTATACCAAGTTAATTTACAATATTGATGAGTTCGTTATATATACATCAGCATTCTATTCAAAATGTATAAAACTAACGTTACCCTGATCCCGAAAGTCCCTAACACAAAGATCGAATGTTTGTTTAATTTATTGCTGTATTGTGAAGGTCAGTTTTAGGACTAAGCTGTGGTTTCATGGTTGGCGACTAGGATACAATGAACTGTAGAGTTAGAACATTGTATGTTATGACTGTTAGGTGGCAATACGATTTTTGACCATATTGCACGGTACAATTTGCATACGAAAATAAGATGGAGTTTTATACTGATATATAACAGTAAGAGCTAGCTTTCATTTGAAGGGAGCTGAACTAGACCCTAAAGTGGAGCCAGCTCGGCAGTGGAGGCGCCTGAATTATTTAATACCTCTGCGTTACTGGTGGCAACTCGGGGCACTCGTTAGTATCTGTCACTGATTAGTATTTGCCCCAGGAAGAAAAAGTTTACATGAGTCAGTGTAAAAGTGATGCGAGGCTACAGCCTCCTTTCAAATTTTACCCCTTAAACCACAGGCGTTAAATATAAGAACATCATTTAGAAATCTAAATCAGAACACCGTCTAGGCAATCTACACAACATTTGTTAGCCAGTACTAAAATATGCAGTGCCTGCATGGAATCCGTACCTTGTGAAACATAAAACCATAATTGAAAAACTATAAAGGTTTGCAACAGGATTGGTTCCAGAGCTAAGAGGGGTAAGCTGCGTGCATTGCGGCTAACGGAACTAATTTTCACACTCTTAGATTATAGATGTAATATGATCACAACATACAAGATGCTGAGGGAAATAGACACGGTGGACAATCATAGCCTATTCAAACTGAAAGAAAGTATGACAAGAGGACACAGGTGGAAGCTGGAAAAGCAAAAGTGCCAAAGGATTGTAAAGAGATACTCATACTCTCTAAAAGTAATCAACGAGTGGAATTCACTGAAAAACGTTGTGGAAACCACCTCCATCCACAACTTCAAGGCTAATTCGACAAAGAATTTGAACATCAGAATAGTTAAATTGCAGCGCAACAGGTACAGCAAGGTTAGTAGGCGGGGGCATAAAGAGCTAGACTTCCTTGTAGATACTGTTACGTAAATACATCTTCCCCGAGAGAGTGCACGCGGTATTAAACTGAGAATTCTCAGAGACTTGCAGAGCCTCGCGTGCAGTACAATGTGACTCACACGTGTGTATCGAGCGTCGTCGGCTACAAAAAACGAGTTCATCGAAGGTTGCTGGCAAGCGTAAACAGTAAGTACAGGGAAACGATACTAGCTACTGCAGTTTAACTTCTCAACATACATTCCACGACAGTGTGGTAAATACACACTGAATACTTTTGTGAATACTTTTATCCAATATTGATAATATGTATAGCAACTATTGGTCGAACATACAACAATGGACTGTTGCACTCAAAAAAAGACCACTTTTTTTACTATAAATTTTATAGAAGCCCAATATAAAAGGCGACAACCAAAGGTAAACATTCTTAGGCTTAGTACAGCACATGAATATACTAAATGAGGCGTATGATGGCCTATATTAAACCTAGAGTGCTTATTTAAGCCTAGAACATGGTAACTTAGGCTGTAGAGTTATTGTTCCACTTTTTGGGAATATTCTAAATAGCCATTTGGAATATTAATAGCACAAAACGATTTTTTTTGGCACAACAGTCCATCTGTACGTTTGAACAGTAGTTGATATACGCCCTGTAATTTTGGAGGTCTCGTACTGCGGTGGGCTTCGTTCTTGATTCACAATCGAGGATTTCGGGCTCGATTCCCGAGCGGGACGGAAAGTTGGGTACAATTCCTTTCACCTAATGCCTCTGTTTATCTATTGATTGGTTGATTGTTGCCGCCGAAGGCGGCTAGTTTATTGCGCACCCCATACTCATCCTGTGAGCGGTAGCGCAAAAGCATTACAGAGGGCACAAAAGGTCTTTATCAGACCTCATCTTAGATTATTACATAAACAATTTCATCTATCCTTCACACCTTATAGTTACAACGTCAGCTAGTTACAGATAGATATCCGGGAGTTAGGCAACTGTTGTGGGTTTGCATTCTTTGGAGGTCCCTGAGTGATTAAATCTTTCCTACTGCATAACTGCAAATTCAAATTTTCAAATTCCTCGGTTAGTGAATAATATGTTATTTATTCGTTGTATTTGTAATTTATATAAAAGATTAATTCGTATTGACTGTATAATACAAGTTCAAGTATGTTTATTGAGATAAGAAAGAAATACATCTCAAAGGGATAGAGTAGCTTAGGCTATTTCTACCCCCCAGAGCACAACCGCATGGTCGACTCTGGAAAACAGGTTGTAAACAGTGTTAGCGTCAGTGACCACAACTTTACATATACAGTCACCAGTCATCGCGCAAACACCACTTACATTTTTCCCCACCCGATTATACATTTTTACCTAATCTAATAATCGGAGAGCCTTGCCTTGCCTCGCCTCCCTGGGGGGGATAATATGCTCTTACCTTCCAAGGAGTTTCAGGCTTTTATCTAAATGGCTCAGTATAGAAAAGTTGCCTTATATATCCAAGAGTCCATTAAGTAAACCTTTCACTCTTGACTAATCTAATCTACCCTAAATTCATACTATGAATTCGCCTCGAGGACAGAACAAAAGCAGAAATGTGTGTAAACATTTGCTAATTAAGAACGCAGAGTCGAACATATTTAACCATGTTCAGTTCAGCACTTGCCCTCCTAGGCATAATATTAAGAAACTCTTTATTAGGGAACCCTTCGTTAAGAAGCACTTGGTCAGCGTAAGGAAGACAGGGGACAAGGAACTCAGCGTGAGCCTCTCTCCGAGGTAGACAGTGTGGAGAGGCTCTGTCCTCTGGCTCTCATGAATTATTCCTAAACGCGAAAATCAGTCAGTGTGTAGGCCAGGAGGGAGTTAAAGCTGACGGTTCACATGTGTAGGGCTGTGCAGGTGTATTGGTAGCAGATGTGAAGAGTGGCGCAGATGTATAAATTATACATGTGAAGAATGGCACATGTATAGATGTGTCCAAGTCTCTCTCTCTCTCCCCCCCATTCCCCACTCCCCCTCTCTCTTTGCTCTTTCCCTATCCGCCCCTCTCTTCTCATCTTCCCCCGCTCCAACTTACTTCCCCACGATCCCCCACTCTTCCTTCTCGCCTTCCTTCCTCTCTCCCAGTCTCCCCCTTTCTACCTTTATCTCCCTCCTCTCTACCATTATCACCCACTCCCTTTCTCATTGTTGTTGTTGCTGTTGTTTTAGATTCAGCTACTCTGAACAAAAGTTCCAAAGTAGCACGGGCTATGGTGAGCCCGTAGTGGACTTACCTGGCACAGGAGCGGGGCTGTAACTGTGTTGCCTTTCTCCCAATCTACCCCTCTCCTCTCCTTTTCCCACCTCTCCACCTGTCTCCTCTCTCTCCTTCCCTTTCTTCAAACATCTCGCTTCCCCTTTTTTCTCGCCCCTCTCCCCCGCCTCTCTTGCTTTCTCTCAGAAAAATTTATTATATAACAAAGCACTGAAACTGGTGAATAAGTCTACCGACAACACAACCAATATTTCCGATTTGACTTTATGAGAGTCGCTCGGGGAGGGGAAGAGGGATTAGATGCCTATATTTCTTGAATTAGGGCAGAGTCTCGGGTAGGTGGAAGCCAGAGGTTGAGAGTGAGGAAGTTGGTACTGAGTGTGCCGAGGGACTAAGGGGAGACATAATGCTGAGTTACAAGGGGTGAGGGGAAGTTTTAGAGAGGATTGAGAGAGCTTAGCGTGAAATAAGCTGCGGGTAACTTACCCGACGTGGGAATGCC